AAACGTCAGCCTTTCTGCTCCTATGATGCTGCTTGGCCTGCTGTGTTCATCCAGCCCTGCACCTTGTTGTCTATAGTTTAATTAAAGTTTATTTTGGTAGCTGTATCTCAAGAAATCATTCATAGAATTTAAGATTTAATTTTCACATTTATTAAACATGTTTTGTTAACTATTTTCCCCTACCTGTTTGCAATGAAGGCCCTTAATATTCTATCCAGAGACATTTATGCTTTGTGTGTTGCTTACCCAGAACCTCTGGGAGAACGACTGTACACAGAAACAAAAGTTTTTCTGGAAAATCACGTCCAACATTTGTACAAGGTAATTTTTTCAGTTTAATCACCTTTACTGTAGATTTTAAATGGCTGCATACTGTGCATAAAGTGCAGAGCAAGAAAGGAACGTGGGGCCAAATTTTCGTTTCGAGGTCACAAACCTGACACTTTGAACTTTTCCAAGACCCTGCACCATTTTAGAAACTGTAGTACTAAGTACTTTTCAAAGTATTAGCCAGTAATATTGCATTTTGGGAGGCCAAATGCAAGAGGAAAGTATATAGTAAATGGCAGGACCTTTAAGAGCATTAATAAATAGAGGGATCTTGGGGTGCAAGTCCATAGCTCTCTGAAAGCGGCAGGACAGATGGGTAAAGTGGTAAAGAACACAGTCAAAATGCTTGCCTTCATCGGTTGGAGTATTTTATATTAAAGTTGGCAGTTCAAGTTGCAGATGTATAAAATTTTAGTCGCCACATTGGAGTAGTGAGTGCAGTACTGATCGCCACAGTGCAGGAACGATGTGGAGGCTTTGAAGAGGGTGCAAAAGAGGTTTACCAGGATGTTGCCTGAATTGGAGTGTAATAACTATAAGGGGAGGTTGGACAAACTTGGATTGTTTTTGTTAGAGCTCTGGGAGCTGATGGGTGACCTGATAGAAATACATAACATTATGAAAGGCATAGATAGGGTAGATAGATGGGGTGTTTTTCCCAGGGTGGAAATGTCAAATGCTAGGGGCCATAGGTTTAAGGTGAGAGGGAGAAAGTTTAAAGGAATTCTGAAAGACACGTTTTTTTTTTACACAGAGGATGGTGGGTGCCTGGAACGTGCTGGTAAGGGGTGAATGGTAAAAGCAGATTTGAAAGTAACATTTAAGAGGCATTTAGACAGACATATCAACAGGCAGGGAATATGGACCATGTGCAGGCAGACGCGATTAGTTTAGAATGGCATCATTGTTGGTGTAGACATGGTGGGCTGAAGGGCTTGTTTCTGTGCTACATTCTATGTTTACTAATTGGCTTGCAGCCAAGTTCAGTGCCCAGTTAGGGTGTGGGTAGGGAAATAAGCACAGCAGAATAATTTACAAGGCAAACAACAGTTTCATCTGACTTTTGGCAAAGGGAGACCAGGGTAGGAAACCATTCCTGTGCAGTGCCACAATTTCCTGATTCTTCCCTTGAGACCCTGACCATGACTCTGCTGGACAAGAGATAATTCTTCTCTCCCTCTGGGAGAAGAGCATTAGTAAACCACACAAAAAGCAGGTGAACCTAGATTCCAGCAGGCTTAAGTTCCTCTTGAGTTGAAACAAACACTCCTCATAAGTTCAAGCCAACCCTGTGCCACTGTATGAGCAACTGAGTTTACATTGCCCCTTTTATATACCATTTTCACATTACTGTCATAAGCACGAATGTCTCTCCACTGTATTCCTAATAGCTTGACTCAAATGTGTTCCAGACCCTTTGTGCTCCTCTTGCTTGCTATGTGAAAACTGTTAACTGTTCTTCCCATGCACCAAACATGAATGAGTTCTGCAAGCAGTTAATTGGAAGTGTGCAAGTTGCCAACTCCCCATTCCAACTTCCTGCCCTTCCTTTGAAAATCTAATTTGTCACTGAGGTAGACTTCATCATCATCATCATAGAATCCCTACAGTGTGGAAACAGGCCCTTCGGCCCAACAAGTCCACACTGACCCTCAGAGCATCCCACCCAGATCCATCCCTCTTTAACCCACCTAATCTACACCTCCCTGAACACTACGGGCAATTTAGCATAGCCAATCCACCTAACCTGCACATCTTTGGACTGTGGGAGGAAACCGGAGTACCCAGCGGAAACTCACAACAGACGCGGGGAAAACATGCAAACTCCACACAGACAGTCAGTTGGAACCACTGACACCCCCAAAGGCATGATTTCTTGTGTCTGTGTACATCTGAACTCACCTCAACTCTTCAATTTATTTGATTTCCTCAAGTGTGTATTAACATAGATAAAACTCTAATTTTGCTAAAAATCCTCAAAGGTAATCAAGGGGAAATATTAAGATACTTAAACTTATCATCTGTGTTATTTGTTCTACAGATGATACTTTTACAGACCTGATAGGATCACAGTCAAAATATTCAATCTTGTTTGTCTGCAGTTTTCTGCAATTCCCCAAACCTGCTCAAAAATGGGGATAATTTTCCTTTCAAGCAAGGAGTTTTGTCAATGCGAGTAACTTTTAGAAACTAATCATCAGATAAACTAACTCATCATCAATTGATAATATTGTCATTTTCTTCCAGTTCCATACCGAAATGATATAGAGCAGAATTCCAGTCATTTTCTTGTCTGTGCTGAATTAGCTGGTACAAGTTTCCCAACGATTAATGTGCTTCACTTAGTCTTGGTGCCCTGAACAATGGAGGATAATAATCTGCCGTGATTCCCTTTACTGACTTTTACCCTGGGAATTAAATAGGAGATGCTTATTGATTTTGCTCCATTCTTTTATCAAGAAGTGTCCGACCCATCACCTCTTGTTTCAAACTTCAAGATGGGAACTTTTTTTTAGTGATTGGGGCAATCCATTATCTGCCATTGTCTAGTCATAGGTTTTATTGAATATTTTATTTTGAATATTGGATTGCTATAAAATACAAATTGAATTGAGTAAACATATTTTTGGTGTTGTTTATTGAAGTAGAAAAATATTGAGTAAAATATTCTGTTTGCCAAACAAGAGTCTGAGCTGTGCTATTTTATCTGAAAGGAATATACTGGAAAGATTTGCTTTTGGGATAATGCAGCTACTTTTCATCTTATTCTCAGAACCACTGTGTAACAGAGAGGATATAGTACATCGTCTTTTTTTATAGCACAGAAACAGGCTATTTGGTCCACACTAATGTTTGTGTTCAACTCAGGCTTTCTCCTATTTTTCCTCATTTAGATTTGCCATTCTTGGCCTCTATTACTTTCTTCCTTACTTCTCTCACTTTTTACTTCAGTCACTCCCTGAGGTAATGAACTCAGTGTTCTCCATTGCCTAGGTCAGTTCCTTTTTTCTTTGAATTCCCTACTAAATTTTTTTGTGACTTTCACCCAGGAATAATCCACTGATTTAAAACTGGGACAAGCGCTGCAAGCGAACTCCCAATCCTGCAATGAATGGCCAGCTGAGAATCCAGTGAATTCATGTCTTTAATATATTGAAGCTGCAGTGTATGTTTACAATGATACATGCCTCAGTAGACGAGCATTGGTAGGCAACATGTGCTGAAGATACTGACTGCTCCGCTTTGCTCTAAAACGTGTGCACCAGACAGATGTACTAATGCTTCAAAATTCACAGGACACCCACCTTTTATGGAAGTGGAGCAGAGGTACTAATTTGTCTGGTTCCAAAGTATAACTGTTTTGAAGAAGAAATGTGCCACAAAAGTGACTCAACTTAACATTAAAGCATTGAATTTAAACATTTCAGAGTATTTCTTGCAGTGTGCTATGCAATTTCCCAAAAATATCCAAAATTCAAAATCTGTAAACGTGTCAGATTCTGCAGTAAGCTGCCAATCTTGAGTATTGACTTGTATAACTTCTATTCATCCCAATCATCCAGTTCTCCTGATTTTGGAAATAATTTTGTAATTCAAAAGGATATGTCCTTTGATATACTTCTATTTACAGAAGGTTCTGGATTCCGAAGAAAAGATTTTGACTATGTACCATAAATATTGGGAAGAGTACAGTAAGGGTGCTGATTATATGGACTGCTTATATAGGTAAATAACTTTATCTTATATACAATTCAAAGTTAATCTTTTTCTTTCAAGCCATGTGTTGAAGTTGACAGTTAGATTATTAGTAAGAGGAAGATCTCCATGAACTGAGCAGCAGCTGTACATATATCATTTTCCTCTATCTGCGATTTCTACCTTGATGAAGTTATTATTAATTCTTTTCCCTAATTGTCGGAGTGGGAGTGGTGCGTTGTTCCAGAACCAATTTGCACATCAAATGTTGACCTAAATAAACAGTTAAAATCAATCTATGAATCCACAATGACATTCCTTGAACTGTTGTGATTTACTCTGCATCTGTTTTTAAAAATTGTAATAAAAATGTAAAACACATTCCTTGTGAATGCTTCAGATTAGTAACCAGTTGAAATTTTTTTTCACAACAGGACACATTTTCCTAATGTTCTGTGCATTTGTGTTTTCCTTATCTGTGCGGCTTGCAAAGTTGCAGTTAATTCTCATCTGCTGTTGTCTTGGGAGGTTGTCGGTGGGACTTCTTCATTTGCTGTGGACTTTATGGTGATGGGGTACTTACAAATATGTTAGACAGGAAATTCCACTATTTTGTTTCAATAGTACATGGGAAGAGTTCTGTTAAGCGTTTAAATGACTTTACAATTTTCATTCTTCTCCATGATGGGGGTTATAGATTTTGCAAATGCTGCCCAAGTAAAACAGGGAAATTCCTATCAATGCTGCAGCCACTGTGTGCCAGAATTGGCAGGTGAACACTCAGCTGTGTCCTAGATGGTATCAATTGCTTGCCATTATGACTGCACCTCGCTAAACCAGTGCTGAGTACTTTATCACAGATGTTGTTTGATACACTGCCACACAGCAGACTTGTGAGTGAGGTAAGTTATAGGTTGTGGTTTAAAAGGGACAGTAGAAATGTAGATTCAAAATTGGCTGATTGATAGGAAACAGTAATGTTCAATGGATATTTTTTGGGCTGGGAAATGTTTTTGGGGAGTTCCCAAGAGTTGGTATTGGAACCCTTGGTTTTCCTAATATGTACCAATGACATGGATCTGGGTGTACAGGGGACAATTTCAAAATTTGTAGATGAAATTAACCTTGGAAGAATTGTAAACTGTGAGGGTAACAATGTAGAACTCCAAAAAGACGTTGAAAAGTTGATGGAGTCAGTGGATGAATTTCAATGCAGAGAAGTGTGAGGTGATGCACAGTGGTTGGAAGAACATTGAAAGATAATATGGGGGCACAATTCTAAAGGGGGCAGGAGGGAAGGGTGTGCATGTGCACAAATCATTAAAAGCAGCAGGATAAGTAGAGAGAGAACAGTAAGTAAAGCGTATAGTATCCTTTGCTTTCCTAATAGGAGAATAGAATACAAGGAGCAGGGAGGTGAAGTTGAACTTGTACAAGGCACTTGTTGGACTTCAGGTGGAGTGTTGTGTACTGTTGTGGGTTCCATATAGGAAAGATGTAAATACGTTGGAGAGAGTACTGAAGCAATTTACAAATGTGTCTGAAGACTGATAGGTCCCCTGGACTCAAAGGGATGCATCATAGAATGTTAAAGGAACGAGCTGTGGAGATAGCGGATGTATTGCTAATAATCTTCTGGATTCTGAAAAAGTCCCAGAAAGTTGGAAAGTTGCCAGTGTAACACCTTCATTTAAAAAGGAAAGGAGACAAAAGGCAGGCTATGCAAAATGGTTAGATTAATGTCTATTATTGGGAAGATACTAGTCTATTATAAATAATGTGATAGAACATTTAGAAATGCATAATATGATTAAGCAGAATTAGCTTAAAGGGGAAATCATGCCTGACAAATTTACTAGAATGTTTAAAGAGTTAACAAGCAAGATTGATGAAGGGGTAGCAGTGAATGTAACATATTTGGATTTTTAGAATGTGTTTGATAAGGTGCCACAACTTAGGCCATTTAATAAGATGAATCCATTGTGTTGGAGGTGATATATTGGATGGATAGAGAATTGATTAGCTAAAAGAAAGCAGAGAGTTGGCATTAAGGGGGGCATTTTCAGGCTGGCAATCTATAACTAGTGATGTGCCATAGGAATCAATGCTGGGGTCACAATTATTTACAATATATGTGAATGACTTGGATGAGGACAGTAAATGTACTATAACAAAGTTTGGGGATGATACAAACGCAGGTGGAAAGGCAAGCGCTGATGATAACATAGAGTCTGCAGGGGGATATAGAGAGGTTAAGCGAGAATGGTTCCAAGATGAGAAACTTTGTAACTTGACGAAGTTGTCTGTTCTTCCTGGAGATAAGACGACAAGGAGGAGAATTAATAGACGTTTTCAAAATCATGAGCAGAATACAGTCAAAGGGAGAACTGTTCCTGCTCATAAAAAAAAAATGAGAGGGCATAGATTTAAAGTGATACGCAAATGAAGCACCGGTGACGTGAGGAAAAAAAAGTTTTCAAGCAGCAAGTTGTTAGGGAATGGAATGCACCTATTGGAAATATTGTGGGGACAGGTACAATTGAGGTATTCAAGAGGATGACTATTTGGATAGAAATGGTGTTCAAGGATATGAGGAAAAGGCAGGAGGTTGGTACTCGGTGATAGAACTGGTGCAATCTGTCACAATTCTGTGATTCCTGGTTTAAGACTTGTAGCTGCCAGAAAGGTCCCATCTAAGCACTCAACTGTGCTGCAAACTGAAAGTTGCTGCATAATCAGTCACTTTAAATTCTCATTTTTGTTTGACTGCACAAATAAATTTAAAGAAACCATAAATCTCAAGAAATTACAAGCACAATAAAAATTGACGAGAATCTTTGGCTATTAAAGATTCTTTGAAGGACATTGAGGTTAACTACTCATTGTGTATCAGCCTCTGCTCTTGTAGTCATGCTGATATGGCCAGTGCAGTCAAATTTTTGGCCTGAAGTTACAACTCGATGTTCCTGGTAGGAAAGTTAATAATGGTGGTGCCATTAAAACTCTAAGGAGGGCAGTTGGAACTTGTTTGTGATAGTTATTGCTTGGTGCTTATGTAGTGCAAATGTTGCCTACGCAATTTTAAATGTAGGTTTTTATTAAATTGTGAGCAGTTGAAAACTTTATGCGAAAACACTAATTTAGAAAGCAGTGGCAGGATCAGACAGAGTCAGCTTGGATTTATGAAGGGGAAATCATGCTTGACAAATCTGTTGGAATTCTATGAAGATGTAACTAGTAGAGTTGACAAGGGGGAGCCAATCAATGTAATATATTTGGACTTTCAGAAAACGTTTGTCAAAGTCCCGCATAAGAGATTATTGTTCAAGACTGAAGTGCATGGGATTGGGAGTAGTGTATTGAGATGCACAGAAAACTGGTTGGCAGAGAGGAAACAAAGAGTAGGAATTAATGGGTCCTTTTCAAATTGGCAGGCAGTAACTAGTGGGATGCCGCAGGGTTCAGTACTGGGACTTCAGCTATTCGCAATACATATTAATGATTTGGATGAGGGAACAAAATGTAACATCTCCAAGTTTGCAGGTGATACCAAGTTGGGTGGCCGGGGGGTGGTGAACTATGACAAGCAAGCAGAGATCCTTCAGCATGGTCTGGACAGGTTGGGTGAGTGGGCAAATCAATGGCAGATGCAGTATAATTCGGATAAATGTGAGGTTATTCACTTTGGAAGCAAAAGCAAGAACGCAGATTACTACCTGAATGGCTGTAAATTGGGAGAGGGGAGTGTGCAGCAGGACCTGAATGTCCTTGTGCACCAGTTGCTGAAGGTAAGCATGCAGGTGCAGCAGGTGGTAAAGAAGGCAAATGGTATGTTGGCCTTCATTGCGAGAGGTTTCCAGTACAGGAGCAGGGATGTGTTGTTGCAGTTATACAGGGCCTTGGTGAGGCCACACCTAGATTGTTGTGTGCAGTTTTGGTCTCCTTTTCTGAGGAAGGATGCTCTTGCTCTTGAGGGAGTGCAGCAGAAGTTTACCAGGCTGATTCCGGGGATGGCGGGACTGATATATGAGGAGAGATTTACTAGGTTGGGATTGTTTTCATTGGAGTTCAAATGAATGACGTAGGATCTCAAAGAGACTTGTGAAATTCTAACAGGACTGAACAGGGTAGATGCAGGGAGGATGTTCCTGATGGTGCCTGTGTTAAGAACCAGGGGTCACAGTATGAGGATTCCAGGTAGACTATTTAGGACAGAGATGAGGAAACAGTTCTTCCCCCGAAGAGTGGTGAGCCTGTGAAATTCATTACCACAGGAAGTAGTTGATGCCCAAACATTGAATGTATTCAAGAGGCGGCTAGATATAGCACTTGGGGGTGAATGGGATTAAGGGTTATGGGGAGAAAGCAGGATTAGGCTAGTGAGTTGGCCAATCAGCTATGATCGTGAAGAATGGCGGAGCAGGCTCAAAGGGCCGAATGGCTACCTCCTGCTCCTATCTTTTATGTTTCTATGTGATTTGTGTTGTTTGAACAGCCCTGAGACATCTTACACTGGTCCGATGGTTAATATTGTATACAAGCTTTGAATTAAGATATTCCTGTAGGATTTGAATTTGCGACCTCCTTTATTAATACACCAGCAGCTCTTCAGATATGCGTTTATGATGAAATATTGTTTAAGGCTCTGTTCATTTATTAATTACAATGTGCTGCAGCAGTGTAGCATTGATTTGTGGAATAATACAGCTCCGAAAGAGTCTGGTCATTGTAACTATTTTTTGGTAGAGGTATCAATTTCTTTCCTGTTCTTTTCTATAACTCTGTAAATATTTCCTCTTAAAACACTTATCTAATTCTCTTTTGAAAGCTACCATTGAATTTATATTCATCATCCTAGCAGGCTGTGTATTCCTTATCACAACTTGCCATGAGAAGGAATACTTTTCTCATCTCCTCAGATTCTTTTGCCAATTACATTAAATCCGTATTATCTCACTATAAACCTTTCTGCTACTGAAATCAGCTTCTTAACAACTCTGCAAAAACCCTTCATGATTCTGAGCATTGCT